AATCAATAATGTTTAGCCTAAAGTTTGGTTTAGTAAGACTTATAAGGCTTCTAAATGGTTCCTCTCTAGCATGTTGATACTTATTACATACAAAGAAGAAATGATATTGGTCTTCTGGTGTACCATATGAACAATTAGAACTCTCAATAATGTTTCTTCTATAAAGATCATAGTTGTGTCTTAGTTTAGTATGTATGATGTTAAGTCGTCTGTTACCATTACAGAAATAAGGCGGGGGTCTGCTGGTTTTTCATGTAATTTATTTTTAAAACTAGTAGAAGTTTGGCTGTTTCTTGTAGTAATACTTAAACTATTCCATTGGTTTACTGTATCAGGAACAACAGATTTCTTAAATATTTCGAGTCTGTATCAAGGAATAGTATAGTTTTCTCGATTACGTGTGTTGTATTTTGATTCTACACTCCTTATTGAAGAAAAAATACTTTTTAAATAATCGGATACCAAACTGTGATGTACTTTAAACATAGTATTTAGATTTGCTACGCCTCTCTGCAAGAGGTTAAAGGTGCTTATACACAGATTTGAGCTTAATATTTTCTCAGATTTTCTGTATAATATCACAACTTATTTATGGCAATAGCAATTTACACGAAAATATAATTAAAAACTTATTTTATCTGGAATTTATTGGAACTACAAATTCCGGAACGCGTTTGATAAACACATCTTTGCACTTACACAAATTTTAACTTTATCCTTAATATTTAAGAAAAGAAGCGATTTTGTTATGCATTAATGAAAAATATTACATCTATAATCTAGAAAATTCAGAGTAGAAATGTTCGAAAGCAAAACCAACTCACCAGTATTGTCAGTCCGTGCTCTGGGATGTGTACAGAGTTTAACAAATTGAACACACCCGTGAAACGTAAACTGTTTTTTGTAAACAGGGCACGAGCTCTGTTATTGTTAACGTTTACGATTCACCGGGTGTGTCCAATTGTTAAACTCTGCACACACTGAGCACGGACTTACAATACTGTGAGTGGATTTTGCTTTTGACCATTTCTACTCCGAATTTCCTGGGTTATAGTTTTAATATTTTTCATTAATACACAACAAAATTGCCACTTTTCTTAAGTATTAAGAATAAAATTAAAGTATGTGAAAGCGCAAGAATGTGTCAATCCAACGCGTCCAGAAATTCGAAGTTTTAATAACTTCGAGATGAAATAAGATTTTTATTATATTTTAATATGAAATGCTATAGCATTATATAAGTCATGAAATTATACAGAAAATCTGAGAAAATATTAACTTCAAATCTGTGTCCAAGCACCTTTAATATTCTCATCCCGTTTCTGAATATAGTGAATCTCGTGAAGCTATGATGGGTAACCCTGTAATTATTCTCGCAGCATAAAGTTGAACTTTTTCTAATTTTTCAACATCTTGTAGCGAACATCCATCCCAAACTATAGAACAATGTTCGAGTAGTGGTCTAATAAAAGTAATGTACATTTTTCATAGTGTACTTCTGTCAATATTGTATTTTAGCTTTTTTAGTAGACCTAATAAGCCTGTTTAACTATATTGTTTATTCCTTTCCTTTCTATTTGAATCAAGGAAACAAACTGATGGCATTATTGGTCAGTGTGTAACACACAATAATATATTATCATATATCATCACAGCCCCTCCCTAACTCCAGAACCCCTGACCGTGGGGCTATGAATTTCACAATTTTGGTAGAGGGCTAAATGCTTATTACAATCATGCCACCAGTTTGACTGCTTAGAATGTCCAGAAGTAGAGAATAAGATTTTTAAAGATTGTATCAATTTTAATGGTTTTAGATTACCCCTCAGGCCTCAGGAAATGAAATTCAAAAATTTTGTTAACCTTCACTCATAGGTGCTACATTTATATGCCAAAACTGGTTCAGCCGTTCAAGAACAGAAGCTGAAAATGTTCAAATGTTAACGGACGACGGACGAAAACAGATAGCAATATAGGTCACCTAAGTGACTCTGGTAGACCTAATAAACACTCATTGACCTAATTCACATAACTTGTTCTAAATGTCTCCTTTCTAAGGCATTAGGATATCATCTCTTGTTCACTCCGTAGGCGCTTTCCATCTAATTTCAGGCCCTCCCCATCTACTACCAGGATACTATGAAATCCTAGGGTGGATTCTCATTTGGAACATGCATACTTTCTAGATCGTCACTCTCCCAAATTATTTTTTTTTCATACACGCCTAAGTGTTTTTAATGCATCAAATTGTTCAGCAGCGCTGAATTTGCATTTTTAATAGGAAAAAAAATATGGATATAAGTGAAGGCAATTTTAAGAATTCAAAAAAAATAATTTTATCAATTGAAAGTGAATAGGGGAAAAAATTCTTAAAAATCTTCTCCTCAGCACCTGTACATTAAGCATATAAAATAGGTGCACGGTTATGATGAGCAAGGGTGCCTCTTCCCAAATTATGAAATTTGTGGCCATAGAGTCGGGGTTCCGGTGGGGTGGGGGCTCTATTGGTTATATAGTAAAAATGCATTTATTCCTCTCTGTTCTTGGTATGAAGCCAACAAAAATAAATGCATGAGAAAGGGTGCCTTTTCCAAATTTAAATTTCATGGTCCGTTGGTCAAGAGTTCTGGTGTTAGGAAGGAGCTGTGTTGAAGGTTAATGATAATGCATTATTTCTTTGAGAATTTTCTTTTCTGCTCCTGAGCATCTAGGAGGCAAACAGAATACAAAGATATCATAAGCAAGGGTTCTTTACCAGATTTGTGAAATTCTGGACCACTTGGTCAAGTGTTGTGGTGCTGGTGAGGGTTGTTTAAATTTGTATTCTACAATTATAAATTACTACCCTTTGATATTCACCTATGATATTTAATCACAGTAAATAATGTAATTGATACATGTAGGTCAATTGAATAAGAAATTTATACAAGAATTTTTGTAAAATAAAATACAAAAAGTACTTTTATGGTCGGATAGACTTGTAAATAGTGGATAAATAATATGACACAAAAATGCCTTATTTTGGTACTTTAAATGTTCTTCAAAGACCATGAGAGACCAGTGTGAGAGAGAATGAGATGGGTTTACTATTAGTGCTCAAACACTATTGTTTCGTTTAGTCTGCATGGTGATAGTGACAAATGGGGCAAGTACAGACAAGTAAATTATAATAGATCTACTTTAAGATTTGTTATGGAGTACTAGACTAATCATTTTGCTGTTCCCTGGTTATCCTGATATTTCTTTTGCTTTTGGGCAACATAGCTTAATCTATCAGTTTATTTTGTTTCATTTTATACTTCTTCGGGTTCTTTTCGGTGTTGTTTTATACTCAGGTGACCGTTAGGGCCTTTGGCCTCTTGTATTATATACCTCTACTGATTTTCTACTATATAAAAATAATTAATTCATTTATTTTTGCCAGTTTCCATAAATTTACATGACCCCCATGTCATGCGTTTCACAGACTATGTACTATTTTAGATTAACTTGGGTGGAATATTGATGGTCCAAGAACAACAACCTTAAGTTCAGTATAGTAGGCTGGCATCTAGAGGTATGTTATTAAGAACATTATTAATTTTGATCGCAAAATTATTTTGTAAAACCTATTCCTTGCATTTATAAAAGGCAAATCATCAACTCAGAAGACAAGACTTTCATCAGGCCCGTTGAACGCGAGGGAAGGGTGGACGCTTCCAACCAACCCCCTCCCCCCACGTTTTTCACTTTTATTCTGAGTATAGTATTATGCTATAGTAAATTTTCATTTAAATACTGGTTGGCCCCCTATATGTTTGTTGCTATAGGGGCGAGAACTTGCAAATTCCTGATTTTTGCTTGTCAGATTATTTTGGGAAATAGCCCCCCCCCCTCCCCCTATTTTTGGACAATAGTTTGTTTGTTTGTTTTTGGCATGTTAGTTTATTTTGGAAGCCGCCCCCTTCTGTTCTGAAATCGTTACTACGGGCATGTTCATCACATGACTTAAGCTATATATAGAAAATGGACGCCATAAAAAAATCTTACGCGAAAACCGAATATGTGAACTGTATAGATCACAAATTGAGACTTGCGAGCTTTTCATTCTGAAGTCTCTGGTTTTATCCTACACTGTAAGCCTAGGATGAAGTACTGCATTGAGACAATTTTCGAGGAATAAATGAGTTGTTTACAGTAAAGAGGCTCGACAAAGAACGTCTGGAACGATTTTATTAGAAAAGAAAAAAGTCTGTCTTGTTAAAGTCTAGGTAAATGATTGAATCTTAATTAATAAAATATAAAAAGTTTGAAGTGGGGTGAAATCGAGTTAGGTAGAAAAAGAAAGGGTTGGCTTGTATATGAAAAAAGAGGAAGATAAAAGAAGGGGCGCCGTGTATATGAAATAAGTGCCTCTGATTCATTATATCACACGAACACAAGATAAAAAGAAAATCGCAACTTTTTGCTAAAAAACAATTAAACACTAACCTCTCAAGACTTAGCTTTATCATAATTTTCGTGAATAAAGAGTTTCTCTATTGTAGACCCACAGGCCCGCGGGGAGGGGGGGGGCGTGGGGGCGCTTTTCTGGGTGTAGTATTTTAATTGCTATACGGTAAATTTTCCTTTACATGTAGATGCTGGCTGGCCCTACTTTTTATTGCTGTAAGGTCCAGCACTGGCAAATTCTAGGATTTGGACAGTTAATGAGGTTTTTTTGCTTGTCAGTCAGATTTTTTTTTTGGGAAGCCCCCCCCCCCCTTCCCCCACAATCGGTACCAACCAATGACAAATGAAGAAAGATATTCAATCGGGATCGAGATGACATAAAATATTTCACCATCTAGTTTTGTTTTGACTTTTGAGTTTTGTTTTTCCTGTTATAAAATAACATTTTTATACTTTATAAATAAAGTATGATGAATAACATGACTATCGACTATATTATAGATTTTTTTTAATGTAACAAGTATAGCTTGAGTTCTTTGTTAAGAACCGGATTTAATTCTACCGTTACATGTAGCATGGTTAGTATCAACTGATCAACAGCTGATGTAAGCAACATGAGCCTCTCAAGAGAGGAGCTTGCTTACAAGGCAAAGTTGGCCGAACAAGCTGAAAGGTATGATGATATGGCAGACGCTATGAAAAAATTGGTGGAAAACTACAAACCGCTCACCAATGAGGAACGAAACCTGCTGTCAGTTGCGTGCAAGAATGTTGTTGGTGCGCTTCGATCTTCTTGGAGAGTTATATCCAGTATAGAATCGAAAACAGACTCAACCGAAAAGAATCTAGTTATAGCCTCAGCTTACAGAAGTAAAATTACAGAAGAACTTAAAAACATTTGCAATGATGTTCTGGTAAGTTAAAAACGTGAGTTCAAATATCATTGTATGCATATGTTTCATTTATGAAGATATATTGCTTTTAAATGACATTTGCAATGCTTGTCCTCCCTGACACTGTTATGGTAAAGGGTAAATGGCAGCTTTGTATGAAAGGGTTGCAAGAATGTGATGCATAATAAAGATGATTCATAAATAGGGCTAAACACCTGTTACCAGAGAATAAATTAGGCATGTCTTGCTCTCACAAAATATGCACTTAAAATTGTCATTGGGATCTTATTTAACAATATTTAGTGTTTGACTATAATGAGCTTAACCAAAATTGATTGACATAAACATTCAACATTATTTTCCCAAAAATTATATTAAGTTGACCAAAGGCAATAAATCTGTTTCAGAGCTTCAGATAAAAATTAACACAAGTATATTCATTCATTTATAAATCAGTGAATCACATTAAAATGTAATTTAATCAAAACAATTTTTAGAATTACGTATACTTGAGAAATATTTGATAGATGAGGAAAATTAACAATTCAGAAATATAAAGATGCTAAATGCAAACAATATGAGAACACTGACATTAGAGATATATAGCTTAGTTTTCTATTTAAAAAGGAAGGGAGATTACTGTAAGTTGTTATTTGGCAGAAGTTCTCCACCAAAGATGAAAAGAATGGTAAGAAATGAGGCATGTCAACAGGTGTCCATGAGTTGTCTTTTGCTGTGCACCACATCTGATTTAAAAATTTGATTCTTTTCTCAATATATATAATTTATATATATTTAACAGGAGAGGAGAAAAATGTTATGACTAGATCGGGATTCCAACCTGGAGGAGGAATGTGGCTGTCAGACGGATTTGCTTGCCAGTGGCCAGATAGCTCAGTTAGTAGAGCACCTGACTGGAGATTCAGGGGCCCCGGGTTCCAATCCCGGTCTGGTCCATCGCATTTTTCTCCCCTCCTGTTATGTGTCATTGCCATGCCCTGGAAGTGACAGGTGAAAGACCTGCCAGGGTAGGAGCCTGGGGTGGTGTCTTCAAGTGCCAAAGACCTTTAATGAGGGAGAAATGTGGCAGTCAGACAGGTTCAGATAACTCAGTTGGCCAGATAACTCAGTTGGTAGAGCACCTGACTGGAGATTCAGGGGGCCCAGGTTCAAATTCTATTTTAGTCAAGCAAAAGACAATTCAACACACCTGTGGCAAAATGATGTACAGTAAAACACGCTAATAGCGAACACACTTGTAATGAATTGACACTTATAGCGAATTGATTTTCATTGCCCGTGGGTTTAAACATACTGTTAAGCTATATGGATATAACGAATTACATTTATAACAAAGCAAAATCACCTGTACCTGGCACTTCGTTATAAGTGTGTGTGTTACTGTAGTAACTAGACTATTCATAATATTCTTCCGTTTTCTTTCAGCAATTGTTAGATACTATAATAAAAAATGATGATAGCGAGAAGAATAATGACATTGAGAGTAGGGTGTTTTACCTGAAAATGAAGGGCGACTATTACCGCTATCTGGGGGAGGTGTCTGATGGGGAGCAGTACCAGGGTAAGGGAGGAGCACATTGTGTGATGATCAGACACCACTAACTTTTCTCTCTAGGGGGAGACTCCCTAATATTACTTAGGGCTGAAACGATACACCCAAAGTACATTCTCATTAACCACTGTCCTGGAGTTAAAAAGCTTTCAAGACCTAGTCAGACCTTTACAGAGTATCTCTTCATAGAATTGTAGGTATAAAAGAACAAAGAATTTTGTGTTTGGGTAATCTACTTTTATGGAAATTCAAGATTTGGAAAATTTCCTTGTCAATTTAAGTTGTGATTAGAATATACTATATTATGTTTCTGAAAATTGAATATCAAAATTAAAAAATCTTATAAAATTGCATGACTCTGAATTGCATACTTAAGAAGTTCATTGATGAATCGTTTCACCTCTAATTATAGCACCACTGCATAACTCTTCATAACTTTTTGAACATAAACTATAATCTGATATCTCTTGCTTAAATGTTGCATTTTTTAAAGGATTTATAAAGAATTCTATGGAAACAATTTAAGCTATACAAAAGAAAAAATAAAACTGAAAGAAAATTTGGCTTGATTCAAAATAATGTATACACCTAATTTTTAATGTATTGTGATATATTGATATTTTGACTTGTGTATCATGGTGCATATTTACTTTTTAGCTTACCTGAGCTAAAAGTCTGATCACCTTTTGTCCAGCATGCAGCTATCTGTCTGTCTGTCTGTAAACTTTTCAGATTTTCAACTTCTTCTCAAGAACTATTGGCCAATTTCAACCAAAGTTGGTACAAAGTATCCATAGGTCAGAGGAATTTTAAATTGTTTAATTGAATAGCTAAACCTCCATCTAAGGGGAGATAATCAAGAAAAGGCAAAATAGGGTGGGGACATAAAATAAAATTTCAAAAGAACGATGATTTCTAAACTAATTAAATCATGGCTCTCAGGGATAGGATGGGGCCACAATAGGGAATCAAACTTTCACATTGTAATATATAAGAGTAGTCTTTAAAATTCTCCCTCTCAAGAACCACTGGAACAGAAAAAATGAAAAGTCCCCGGGGGGGGGGGGGGGGGGATTTTTTTTCTAATCATTTCAAGAACCTCAATAGACCATTAATTTGTAAACATTCCCAAGTTGTATGGATTCAGTTTTTTTTCCTTCAGATTAATGAACCCTTGGTTAGAGTTGACTAAAATCCAGATCATATTGTATAGATGTGCATGTATACAGGAAAAGAATCTTCTCAATAGCTGTTAGACCATGTTAGTCATGTTGATATTGAAGCATTCCCATGTTTTGTGGATTTAAAGAACTTAAGAGTTAGGGTTGGTCATAATATGGGACACAATTTTTCATGAGAAAATAAAAATCTTTTTAAAAATCTTATGAAGAAGAGGACTATAGTTACTGAGGTGAGCATTGTGGCTCATGGGCCTCTTGTCATTTTTATTCTACCTCCTACTGGAGATAGTCCATACCTCTCCACTTCTCAGAATAAACCCTTTTTTTGTCATATAGTTGAGTACGTGCTACACAAAAATGTCATAAAGGACACCTGATTAGAATACCTTATATCTGGTTTTTTTTTTTTCAATGATTTATTTTTCGTAGTTTTTTGCGATCATTTTTAATTCACAAAAAATAAAACACGCAGAAATAATGTCGGTAATTGTGTGCCATAAAAAATAACCTTCTAGTTTACTGTGAGTGGAAGCTCACACTCTCACTCACAAAAAATAACATGCAAAATAAAAACTTTACAAATTAATCTACCCTTTCTTCACAAAATTTACAACATGCGTAAAAAAACTGGATATACAGTATGTTAATCAGGCATGATTGAGTGATTAAATTGTTAATGAATTCTTTTATCATTTCAGCTGTGACTAAAAAGTCAGAAGATGCTTACAAGGAGGCCTACAAAATTATCAATGAATCCATGGCCCCCACTGATCCTATTCGACTAGGATTAGCATTGAGTAATTCTGTTTTCCATTATGAAATTTTGAATAAGCCAGACGAGGCCTGTAAACTAGCCAAAAAGGTGAGAATAAAATGTCCATTCAGCTGTATCTCAACTTATTATAGCAATATGATATATGTAAAACAAGAAATGTTTATGTACAATTATGCCCCTATCAGCCTCATCAATTTCACCTGTCCAGTATTCAGGACATTATTAGCTCTTCTAAGTCAAAGGTCAAAACCTAATGCTGTGGCCATTTGGGAGTTGTGTGTCAACTCTTTAGAATGTTGGCTATAGCTAAAGAACCCCTTTGCCAATTCTTGTCAAATTTATCTCGGAGTAACCATGACCCAAGGGCTTTCTCGCATATTGAAAATGGGGACCTTAAACAAGGTGATATAAATAAGGTAATAAAATCAAAATTAATGATTGCTAAAAAAATCTTTTTCACAAGAACCTCTGGGTAGATTACCACCAAACTTAAAGGGCAAAAGGAATGGTGACAGATCACTTCTGAATTGACCTGAAATGATATTTTGTTTAAACTTTGATATTTTGCCACTATAAGGACTAAGATCTTTGAAATGAAGAGGTCTAGGAACCTCTTCCAAAATTTTGAAATTCATTAGTTCTGTTAAAATCTTCTCTGACCCTGGGTACTTAGCATACGTACTAAGTGCATGGTTATGATGAGCAAGGGTGCCTCTGAAGCCAAAATTGTGAAATTCATGTCCCCTGGATCAGGGGTTCTGGTGTTACAGTTGGACTCCATTGATCATTTATTGGAAATGCATTAATTCTTCGAAAATCTTCTGCATGTGACTTCTTCTTTTCAAGTATGTTTTTGAATAACTGACTTTTTCTCCAGGCATTTGATGATGCAATCGCAGAGTTGGACACACTCAGTGAGGAATCTTACAAAGACAGTACACTGATAATGCAGTTATTACGAGATAAATTGTTGGTAAAAAATTAATAGTTATGTTTCATGAATATTTTCTATATTCAAGAAGTTTTCTTGTCAAATTAGCATAATATAATTTTTGTCCTTTTAAGACAGAAAGAAGATATCAATTTTCCTTTCATTTACTGAAATTTAAAGGGATATAACTTTGATTTTTCTTGATTTAACAAAATCTTTTTCATTGTTCAAAGATGAATAATTTCATGCATGGTTTCTAATTTTGTGTGTTTCTATATTATAACAGTTGTGGACATCAGATGCCAATCAAGTCGGTGACAATGATGGAGAAGGGGAGAAAACCTGATCATTTTTCTGCTATGAATTCTGCCAAGGACTATGCTAAAGATGGGATAAATATGAAAGACATTGAAACACTGTCAGAAATGTCAGCTATCTATCATTTGGTTTTTCAGTGGACTGCAAGTGACAAAAGGAATAAGATTATATGAACAAAATGTTATGGTTCCACTTAACAAAGTTTATAACAACATAGTCCATGTTTTAAGGGCTCATTATTACAACTACATTTTTAATAGCGGAACTTGGTTTTAATTCAATCTGTTTATGTGCAAAGGATCAATGTCTTCAAAATCATGTTTAGATTTAAATTGAAGTTCCAGCATTTGGAAATGAGTTTGATTGCTCTACCTATACTGGAATCCAAACCTTCCTAATAATCCTTACAAAGATATAATACAATGTCCAATAAATGTTCAACCAAACTCCTTACTCCTCACCAAAATAATACCTGCCATAAAGAAGAAGCCAGACATACCAGGTGCGGATCTAGGATTTTGCCTTGGAGGGGGTGTTATCACATGTTGTGGATTCTAGGACCGCCAAAGTCCTAGTGGGTTGACAACAGTGTCCTGTGGGGGCCTGGTGGTAAAGCCCCCATAAGTTCCTGAGAATCAGTAATTAGAGAACCTTATTCTATGCATAAATGACTGAACTATTACCCTTACTGTGATGTATGACATTGAACACTGTATTGTTGTTCTTTAAGAGGGGACACGTGCTGGGAGTGCCCCAGCTGAATCAGTGCCTGTGTACTGTGGTACATGTTCTAGATGTGCTGTACATCAAATGGGTTTCGTAAAACTACGAATTTGTGGAATATTTCCTTTATTTTGCAATGAGGGCCCCCCCTTTTTAAAATTATAACAGATATCAACACTAGAAAATAATTTCTCTAGATATGGGGCTTATTTCTTTCAATAGACTAAATACACAAAAGTATGTTCTACCCACAAAGAAGTTTTTAAAACAAGACAGGCTACTAACAAATAAGTTGATGATACAGGGCTGTCAACGCTCTTGCTGAAAGTAAATGTTTCAAAAAATTCTATGGTCCATACAAGGACCATGTTTACAAATACAAACTGTCAATAGGTTGAATTTTGACCTTTCATTCAGGGCAAACAATAAAAATTAATTTTTTTGATGTATTCCAGTCACCTCTCAAAATCACCCCTATACCTGATCATTTTATTTTAAATTTTATCATTTTTTTTGTTTGTGACAAATATGGATCAGTGTACATCAAATAAAAAAAATTAATGATGGCCCAAGTTGTTTAGATATTATTTTCATACTAAATTGTCTACAGATTTCTCCATTTACTTGATCACGACAAGGGGCACACGGCCCATGCAAACTGTCAATCGGGAATATTAATTCTTCAAGGCATCTGATTCAACCTCTATTTATTTTCCAGAGGTCCGTGTTTGTTCTTATTACAATTTCGCATGTGAGTTAAGGCTAGGTATAGGCGTCTCTATGCAAATGAGCTAATAAAAACGCATAAGAGGTATATTTATTATTCAGAGAAAGTTTTGATTTATTTTCTTATGCATTCTAAGTATATTATAATCTTGTGTAGTAAAGAACAATGACGTCATAATATGACGTCATAATGTGTACTGGCTATCTCATGTCGTGTGTACAAAGTATGTACAAGACAATAAGTTTGAACTTTCTCTGTATAATAGATAGAGTCCTCAGGCATTTTAATTAGTTTATTTGCATAGAAATGCCTAAACCTAGCCTTAACTCACCTGCGTTATTGTTTCAAAGTATTTCTGAGTTTTTATTTCTGCATTATCCTTACATTTCATGAGAACTAAGATTATGAGAAGTAGCATTTTGAAACAATTTCGTAAAAAAAATTCTATTTTTAGTAACAACCGCTGCAGTTTTTGTCACATTAAAAACCGTTTACAGGAATTATGCATTTTTCTTGAATCTACATGTACTTGTCAGTCAATTTATTGAAATCAGACAAAAATTGTATTGGTTCCTTAAAGTAGAAAACTGTACTACATGTATTTGTACAATTATTTTCTGATTAAAATGAAAAAAGAAATTAAAAACAATATTTTTTATTTACATTAACATAGGTACACAGTTCTTTCTGATGTCACGTTCCTTCTTCATCATCTTCCTCTTCCTCCATATCATCTTCCTCATTGTCTTCCCTTGGTTTAGCTGTCAGAATCAGAAAATTTAATTTAAAGTCGGATTTTCAAACAAATAACGTAAGCTCTGTAGAGCTTTTGACACCGACATGATTAGTAAGACATATACATATGGTATTTGCTAGAATTTTCTTTCAGTCGTCTATAAAATAGTGAAACAAAAAAATTCCAATTTTGTGGAGTGTTCATAAAAATCATGTTTGCTACCTACATGAAGATTTCCATCACTTAAGAAGATTTACATATATAAAATATAATACTAAGTTGAATCCAGGGGCCATGAATTTCTAAATTTTAATATAGGCCTTGTTGGTTAATATTTTCATCCAAAAGTAAAGATTTTTGGAGCTACATTTTCCCATCCCATGGCCTCTGACTCACGAAGGCAAAGACCATGAAATTCAAAAATTATGTTCCCCTTTGGTCATATATGCTATAAACCAAATTTGGTTCAACAGTTCCTGAGAAGAAGCTGAATGTGTTTAAAAGTTTATATTTACATTTAGAAATATTTTTCCTTAAGATTTTTTGCAAATTAGAAAAAGTTCACGTTCTCATGAACTACTTGGGCAATCTCCTATGCAGATTTGTCGTTTGTCCCTCTCTCAGACACCTCTTCAATGGGCTCGTGTCAAGATTTTTGACATAACGTATAAAACATAACATTTCAAGGATTATTTCAAATTAAACTAATAGTTTTATTTTTATTTAGTAAATATCTATCTTTAAGGACCCTCTCTACACTGCACCCTATTTTCAGGGTACTTTTGTGTAATTAGACTGACCCACCATTTGACATATAAGTAGAATAAATTGTAATCGGAAATGTATCACATAATTTAATATGAATCCAAGTATTCTAAGCATTATATTAGACCAAGATATAGTATTTGAAAACTTTATTTGCATGTATTTTATCCATTTGAGTAAGCGAAGGCAATTTTTCTTTTCTATTACTTCATTGTCTTTGAAGATTTTTCCTGAATAAAAAAGGCAGGCTCCCTATATTAAAAATGAGTTAGTTAATTTCAAAATATCCTTCTTTATGCTATATAATTTTCTCAAAGTCCAAAAAACATTTTTCATCAGTGTATAGAGGGTCCTTAAGGACTATCATTAGCTCAGACATTTAATTATAATGAATTAAAACAAACTCACTATTTCTCGTGCTTACCACTGTTATATACGCGAGCCAACAACAGAGGTGAATGTATGAGCCGATGGTAGAGAGTGCTACTTGGGATGAATAAGAATATTTCCAATGTGATTAAAGTAAAAAAAATAGTGCAAACTTTTTTTTTCTCAAAAATGATCGTTGAATGTCAAAAGTATGTGACAAGTCATCAGAAAAATAATGTAAATATAAGATATGAATTTAAATTTTGAGAATTCATGAGGTTCATGAACTACAACACTTCACGCTTGCATATTTATCATGAAGCACTAACGCGCTTCATGAAATATGCCGGCGTGAAGTGTCGTAGTTCATATCCTCATGAATTCTCAAAAAATAAATTCATCTCTTAAACCAACAAAGCACAATGGGCAGCATATATACAAAGGATAAAAACAGATAGCAATAGGTAACCCAAGTGATTCATGACTTAACCTTCCTCCACAAGATGAGAGCATCAAATTCAGCAGCAGCATTTTAATGACAACATGCAGATTTTCTTCAGTAAAAATGTGATTTAGAATGCATTGGATTGGCTGAATTATTGATATCAATTAGAATGCATTGGATTGGCAGAATTATTGATATCAATTACAATGCATTGGATTGGCTGATTAATTGATATCAATTACAATGCATTGGATTGGCTGATTAATTGATATCAATCAGCTAATCAATGAGATGGAGAGAAAAAAACTCCCTGTCATGCACATGTGTATTACTAACAAGAGGCCCATGGGCCACAACGCTCACCTGAAAATACCTATTGTGGCCCCGCCCTACCCATGGGGATTATGATTTTAACAATTTAAAATCTACACTACCCTAGGATGTTTCCATTTAAGTTTCAGCTTTACTAGCCAAGAGGTTCTTGAGGAGAAAATTTTTGAAGATTTTTCCTATATATTTCAATGTAAAACTTGGATTCTGTATTGTGGCCCCGCCCTACACCCAGGGGTCAAGATTTAAATTCTTTAGAATTTACGCTGCCCCAGGATGCTTCTACAAAAGTCTTAGCTTTTCTGACCAAGTGGTTCTTGAGAAGAAGATTTTTTTTCTACATATTTCAATATAAAAATTGGATTTCCTATTGTGGCCGCGCCCTGCCCCCAGGGGTCATGATTTTAACAATTTAGAATCTACACTACCCAAGGATGCTTCCACATAAGTTTCAGCTTTTCTGGCCTTATGGTTTTTGAGAAGAAGATTTTTAAAGATTTTTTTCTATATATTTCAATGTAAAACTTGGATTCCCTATTGTGGCCCCGCCCTTCCCCCGGGGGTCATGATTTTTACAATTTAGAATTTACACTACCCCAGCATGCTTCCACATAAGTTTAAGTTTGTCTGGCTAAGTGGTTCTTGAGAAGAAGATTTTTAAAGATTTTTTCTATCTATTTCAATGTAAAACTTGGATTCCCTATTGTGGCCCAGCCCTTTCCCCGGGGGTCAGGATTTTAACAATTTAAAATCTACACTACCCCAGGATGCTTCAACATAAGTTTCAGCTTTTCTGGCCTTATGGTTCTTGAGAAGAAGATTTTTAAAGATTTTTTTCTATATATTTCAATGTAAAACTTGGATTCCCTATTGTGGCCCCGCCCTTCCCCCGGGGGTCATGATTTATACAATTTAGAATTTACACTACCCCAGCATGCTTCCACATAAGTTTCAGTTTGTCTGGCTAAGTGGTTCTTGAGAAGAAGATTTTTAAAGATTTTTTCTATCTATTTCAATGTAAAACTTGGATTCCCTATTGTGGCCCCGCCCTTTCCCCGGGGGTCATGATTTTAACAATTTAAAATTTACACTACCCCAGGATGCTTCAACATAAGTTTCAGCTTTTCTGGCCTAATGGTTCTTGAGAAGAAGATTTTTAAAGATTTTTTTCTATATAATTGAATGTAAAACTTGGATTCCCTATTGTGGCCCCGCCCTTCCCTCGGGGGTCATGATTTTTACAATTTAGAATCTTCACTACCCCAGGATGCTTTCACATAAGTTTCAGCTTTTCTGGCCCAGTGGTTCTTGAGAAGAAGATTTTTTAATGATCCCACCCTATTTTTGTCTTTTCTTGATTATCCCCCCTTGTAAGGGGGTTTGGCCCTTTATTTTAACAATTTAAACTCCCCTTCACTCAAGGATGCTTTGTACCAAATTTGGTTAAAATTGGCCCAGTAATTCTTGAGAAGAAGTTGAAAATGTGAAAAGTTTACAGACGGACGGACAGACAGACGGACGGACGACGGACAACGGGTGATCAGAAAAGCTCACTTGAGCTTTCAGCTCAGGTGAGCTAAAAATTGTTTATGCTGCATAGTATATCAGAAATCCAAGACAATCACCAGTTCATGGGAGTACATGTAATACACAATCTCACCATTGATGCACAAGTTCATGGGAGTACATGTAATACACAATCTCACCATTGATGTACCAGTTACTGGGAGTACATGTAATACACAATCTCACCATTGATGTACCAGTTACTTGGAGTACATGTAATACACAATCTTACCATTGATGTACCAGTTACTGGGAGTACATGTAATACACAATCTTACCATTGATGTACCAGTTACTGGGAGTATATGTAATACACAATCTTACCATTGATGTACCAGTTACTGGGAGTACATGTAATACACAATCTCACCACTGATGTACCAGTTACTGGGAGTACATGTAATTCACAATCTTACCATTGATGTACCAGTTACTGGGAGTACATGTAATACACAATCTTACCATTGATGTACCAGTTACTGAGAGTACATGTAATACACAATCTTACCATTGATGTACCAGTTACTGGGAGTACATGTAATACACAATCTTACCATTGATGTACCAGTTACTGGGAGTACATGTTATACACAGTCTCACCATTGATGTACCAGTTACTGGGAGTACATGTAATACACAATCTTACCATTGATGTACCAGTTACTGGGAGTACATGTAATACACAATCTCACCATTGATGTACCAGTTACTGGGAGTACATGTAATACACAATCTTACCATTGATGTACCAGTTACTGGGAGTACATGTAATACACAATCTCACCATTGATGTACCAGTTACTGGGAGTACATGTAATACACAATCTCACCACTGATGCACCTGTCCCTGGGAGTAATACATATCTCACCTTTAACTGTGACTTTGGGGGGTATAATGGGTTCAGGCCTGTCCGATATCACCTCCCACTTTCCATTGGATGACCACATACCCTCAATTGTTACATAAAATTCTGCCATCTTGTGTCCAAAGAGTTTCTATGATTAAATAAAAAAAGTACAGTGCCATATAAAGGTTTCTTTAGCAGGTGTAAAATTTTGTTTGCTCAGAAGTATGCCAGTAATTTTGGTGGAACTATTTTTGGTGGACTTGGAGTTGCAACACATTGCAAAGAAAGGAATTTCATCTTCTGTACGAGTTTTCAGTACGTTTAATATAAGTTTGAATACCGATTTACGCAAGAGTTTGAATGAAAACCAAAACCATATAACATTTAACAACAGATTGATCAAAGTTATTTTTCTTTTGTTTATTACAAATAGGCAAGGGTGCAAATTTAGAGAATAAAATTTTAGCGGGCTACTACCAAACTGCTAAAATAAGCCAAAGTTAGCACATGCTAAAAATTCCCTCTATACAGTAATATTTTATATCTTATTTGAATAAACAATTCTGGAGGGCTTACTGGTAATAATAATAACTTTGTTAAAATTTCACTTTTTTACCCTTGTTTAAACAAAATTCCTTCCATGGCCACTAATACAAAAGGCCCAAGGGCCACAATGCTCACTTGAGTCACTTTGGACCTGCTGTTCTGCATCAGATTTTTTCCCCATAATACATGTATTCTCTGTATTTTTGATTGCCTTTTGTGGCCACATCCTATACACCAGGACTGTGATTGGAACAAAATTGGATCTACACTACCAGAGGATGCTTCCAAATTAATATGATTCATCATGGATTTGCTCTTGAGGAGTTTTCAAGATTTTTCCCTACATAATCCCTATTGTGGCCCAACCTGACTCCCAGGGGTCATGATTTCATCAATTTAGAATCTAAACTACCTCAGGAAGCTTCCACATACGATTAATCTTTCCTGGTCCAAGGGTTCTTGAGAAGATTTTTTAAAGATTTTTCTTATTTATTTCAATGTAAAACTTTGACCCCTTATTGTTGCCCCATCCTAACACCAAGGGCCATGATTTGAACAATTTAGAATCTAAACTACCTTAGGAAGCTTCCACATAAATTTCATCCTTTCTGTTCCAGTTGTTTTTGAGAAGATTTTTTAATGACCCCACCCTATATTTGCCTTTTCTTGATTATCTCCCCCTGGAGAGGGGCTTGGCCCTTCATTTTTAAAATTTAGAATCCCCTTCACCCAGAAATGCTTTGTACCAAGTTTGATTAAAATTGGTCCAGTGGTTCTTGAGAAGTTGAAAATGTGAAAAGTTTACAGACAGATGGACAGAGAGGCAGACAGATGGTTGGGCAGACACCGGACAACAGGTAATCAGAAAAGCTCACTTGAGCTTTCAGCTCAGTGAGCTAAAAAGCAGACATTAAATTGACAGATAACAGAACTGCTTACCAGAATTCTGGCCTGTTCCGGTGTCAGCACAGTCCCTTTTTCACACACTGTGTGAGGTTTCAGTAAGGTTACCACACCTGTAAGTAATCCAAGAAATTAATGAAGAAAATTCTACAACTGCTCATTGTACATGCTTACAATAAATCATGGTACATGTCAATGACAGACAACATTATAGGAGTGACATGTAGCCCACTTAAATTAGCAAACTCAAAATTTAGTGCTAACTTTAAATGATTAGACCAATCATAATTAAGCAGACTTTAGCATTATAAATGATCTGTATTAGTTTAAATTATTTATTATTTTATGAAAATGCAAACAAGAAGCAGTGTAAAAGTTTTAAAATATGATCACTACTAGAATAAGACTGAAAAGGATGTTACCAACCATGATCCTGGGACAATATAGTACAGAGTGTGTGAGTACTGAGGTCAAACTGATAATCTTGATATTGTTTACTTATAATTACTAAATAATCAGAAACCCTAGTACTGTAACAACAGTACAGTAAAACTCACTTATAAGGAAGACACATGGACTTGAAATTTTACTTCCTTATAATCAAGATCCCTTATAAGGAAGATTGGGTTCAAGGCAACATGCATTTTGAGGGACTTAAGAACCAAATTGTTTGCCTGAGTTTAGGCCAAAAGCAAACAGTTTGGTTTGAGGGATTGGCAAAATGAACTTTGCCCCAAAACCCAGTCAATAAATGTTTTGTTACACCTTTTACTTTTTTGGGACATATCTGGCATCCATGATTTAAATTTCATTTACCCATATTGTAGATCAAACTTGGTCAATTCCATAACTATCGAACACCAACGAATGCAAATAAGGTATAGCTGATCCCGCCCACAGTGTGACGTAAGTGGTCCAATATCTCATTGACAGGTCCAATACCTCACTCGGTGGTCTACCATCGATTTTTGTTTGGACCGCTCAAGAAAACATTGGAAATGTTAAGACTTTTTAAAATATACATTTGTATAAGAAACAATTTTTAAAGGTATAACAAAGTGCAGTCACCTGGGGGATTGTCACATTAAAATCTACATGTTCCTAATCGAACACGCAAGCAATTTATATTTACCTGTGGAGAGCCTCCATTTTTCACCGGGTTTATGTTACCCTGTTTTATACCTCAAATCACCGGACCTTTAAAATATTTGTAAGCCCGTGCTTCAGTTTGGACACGGCAGTCCTGGGAGAAGGACATTTTCAAAACTTCTCAAGATCTGTTTGATTTATCTTATACACATGGAAGACCACTGAGGGTTTTACTTGTTTAGAATTTAGTTGTATGGTCCTGCTTCTCTGAGGTAAGCCTTATTTGTAGGGATGGCAACGAATATTCGAACATTCGAATATTCATTCGATGAGTTGATATTCGAATATGAATTTAAGATTCGAATATTCGGTGTTTTTCAGATTTCATAAAAAGAAGTACTGTGATTAATAAATTTTGATTAGAACAGTGCTGGAATTATCCCTGTTTAATTTACTAGCGATCAATTTCGATCGCCTGGTTTCTTTCACTACTTTCTTAGCTTATAAATCTACTAAATAACATGTATTTTGTTTTGAGTAAGGTGTTAAAGAATTGTACAATAATGCTTTATGTATAATACAAAACGTACTTTCATAGTTTTTATTAGTTAGATACGATCGGATCTAGAATCCAGGACAACAAATGAAATCTAAGAATGTCTAAAAGGCGTGAAGAGTATACTTATCAAATTAAGATTAATTGATCATGAATGAATGTCCGATAGAAATAATCTGTAATTAATATTGTAAAGGGCTTAATTTCAGCATAAATGTGCAAATTACTTGATTATCTCGGGTTGTAGATAATCCTGAACTTTATATTCATTATCGGGATATTAGTTAATTACCTAGGAAAATTGTCTATGAAAATATTTGTTTACATTGTATCAAAGATTATAATCATATCTCTTATCAGGCAAATAATTGTAATTCATTACACGTATTGAAATCTGAACAGTATACCGTTACGACTATCTTGCCTTTTGTAAGACGACTGGTTCCTCAGTTGGAGCTACTATAAATACACGTTTCATTTGTTAAAATTATACTTTTCTACATTTAAATCACTTATTTATTTCAAACATTGACAAATATCAAATGGAATTTCTTATTGTACACCTACAAAAGTCTTCATACAATTTTACTTTCAATATAAGTATACCTACGCTAAACCTTTCATGAGAGTAGGATGATGCATATTTAAGATAAAACAGATTTTATTCATTTTATCGAATATTCGAATATATTCGAATACTTTCATTGAATATTCGAATATGAATTACTGACAAAATTGACATCCCTACTTATTTGTGTTTGTTTTTAATATTTTATAAAGTTGTAAATATCTTAAAACACCCAGATACGGAATTTCTAAAATATGCAACTTTAAGCTATTCCATTTGATATTTTTAAGTTCTGTTATTTATAGTTACTCAAAAATGTTTGAGTCTTAATTGTACGGTGGATTGTTTGTGTCTTTATTTGTCGGTTCTACGTTCTGTAATAACTATTGTATAGTAAAGCATTTATTGCGTTGCACATACTCACGGAGTAAGTTGAATGTCTATATTATTCTGTGTATGATATTTAACAGGTCTCATTCCTGTATAGTAGTGTAGAGATGGCGGCCGGTACCAGTCACATCTCATAGTCTTGAACGCAATATGGACGTGTAACCTCCTCGGCACTGGAGAGGGGGAAGTGTAAACCTTTCTCGGCACTGGAGAGGGGTGTCTGAGCCTCATTAGCGGCAAGAGATTGTAGTGTAGCCTAAACACCGTGTGGAACAAAACCATAGACGTAGTAGACATTCTAGGGACACAGACGACCACACACCAAACCAGTTTATTTTGTTGTATAATATTATTTTGTTAATTAAAATGTAAAGTTAAAATGTAGAAAAGATTTTCTGTTATTTATTTTGGGGAGTTTGGATCACTATTCTCTACGCAAGGTCATTATTTGACAGGGATTACTCATAACCGAGTTCTTTATAACTGTATATGTATAAGATTTGTTTTCACCTTTTTGTAGACAGGTGGGTAGTCCTAGCTGTCGCAGTTGAGGTTCCATGGAATGAGAGAATTCTGGGATAGGTCCCTCATCTAACATCACGGTTTGTTGACACAGATTTCCTGATCTTGCGTAATCTGGCACTCTGTACTCATCAAAGAAACTGCAAAATGAAAATACAATTTCTGATGTAAATATTTGTAACACTGTTATTTATTCCAAAATGTCTACTGAGATCAGTGAGATGTGAATGAATTGAGTAATGTCATTTGATTGACCTTTAAGCTTTTGGCCTTAAGTTAAAAGGGGTCTTTTTTAGGTTAAAGAAATGACCTTAAGTTTCATTGCAAAAGCTTACAGAGAACTAAAGTTATCACCTGAAAACTTTATAGGCAATATATAAATTTCTGACCTTGGTCTTTGACCTTTTGAATTTTACTATTGGTAGTAGAGTCCTGTACACAATTATTTTGCATATTGAGTTTGTCTCCTAGATTCTCAGGGTTAAAAATGATTTCATTTTCAAACAGTGTCCCTTTGGCCCAAGCCTGGGGACAAAACTCTTTACTATAATCATGCAAACAGTTTGCATGCTATGTCCATAAGTAAAGAAGGTTTTCCAAGATGTAATGTATTTTTAATATATGACCATTTAAGCCCCATTCGTGGTTCTGGGATCAGGGTTGATGAATTTCACAAATTTGGTAAAGAGTTTTGTCTTCTAGATGTCCATAATATGATTTTCAAAGGTATAAAGTACTTTTGAATAATGACTTAACTTAGCCTGCCCTAGATTCTTAACCCTGAATTAAAGGTGATGCAATTCGCAATCATTATTATTAATTATTAGTAGAGGATTAAGTGTTCACTATTATCATGCAAACAGTTTGCTAGCCAGATATCCAGGAGCAAATCAGATTTTTGAAGATAAAACGAAAATTACAAACAGATTTGTTTATTAAGTTAGCCCCCCCCCCCCTTTCTCCTTACAGATTACAAAGGTCACTTACCAAGTGAGCAACCACCCTCCTCCCTCCTGATTACAAAGGTTTACTATGAAGTTAACCCCCCCCCACCACCACCACCACCACCACCACTGACTTGGTGTACACAGTATATTAGTGATACCTGAGAACCTCTTTCTTTGATTTGTTGGTGAACAGAAGCCCTGTCTGTCCCCGTAACTGAGAACTGAGTTTGTGAAGATTGTCTTTATATTCATCCTCCTGAGTCCTTCCTAGCGCCAAAGACATCACTTTGTTCTTTCCAAAGTAAAAACTGTAAAAATAAATATATGTATCTGTATGGCAGAAATGTGTCTGTGAATTTGCATAAGCAAGTCCTAGTTATTTTGATTAAGAACTAGTGATTACTTAAAACATATGTACATACATCACATTTAAGTTAATATCAAAATACATGTGTGTACACTGTATGTACTAGAAGCCTTGGGTGAGATTTTAGCTCTACTGGTTGGAATTCACAAAAGCCTGGGAGGAAAAAAAGGTCTTGAACTTTTATCAAATTTTGTCTGCAATTTTTTTGTAAAATCTTTGTAAAAATCCATTCAATACTCCTTTAAAAAGAATTACTATTAATGAAATAGGTGTCAAAATCACTGACTATGCATTTGTAGTAATCATCTTATGTGATCACATTAGGGAGAAAAAATTGTGTCATGAATCAGCAAGCACATGTAATGGAATTCATTTTAGTTTTCAAGTTGACAGTGTTAGATCTTTATTGAAATTTTTTCGGACAAGTGAAGTTGAAGTTCGGACAAGTAAATGTCTTGGTCACTTGTCCGAATGGACAAGTAGGAAAAAAGTTAATGTCAAGCCCTGTATACTGTCCTGTGGATGGAGTGACCATACATCATACTTTCCTGACAAATGAAAGTTGTTGTAAAAGAAAAGTACCATTGAAGACACATTTTCAAACTTTTATGTTTAAAAATCTGTGTAAACAAAAACATGGGTAATCAAAGATTACAAAGCTCATCTCGAGGAATGTTATCTATAAGTGAAGGCAATGTCTCTCATCAGTTGAATGTTCTAGTAGTTTGCATATCTACATGCAACAACCATGCACGTTTGGTCTGGATAGATTTTATAGTTTCTCAGGAATGTTCCAAAAATTTTCACCGTTTCAATCACTGTGAAAATATGTCAGATAATCAAGGTAAGTCAGAAGCTGCAACTGAGGTATGTCTGGTGGTGTTTATCCCTAGATGCATTATCCATGCAACTTTGGTCCAGATAGAGCTTATTGTTATTTGAGAATGGACCTCATCCAAAATGTAGGTCAGATCCAGCATCAGAAGCAAGTCTGGTAGTATACATCCCTAGTTGTATAATCCATGCAATTTTAGTCCAGGTAGGGTTTATTTTACTTTGAAATGGACCTGCTTTGAAAAGTAGGTCAGATACAGCATCCCAAGCAAGTCTGGAGTGTAGTGTGCATCCCATGATGCATCATCCATGCAACTTTGGTCCAGATAGGGCTTATGGTTACTTGGAAATGTAAAAGAAAAGTACCATCAAAAGACATGTTTTCAAACTTCAATGTTTAGAACATCTGTGCAATCAAAAAAAAATGTGGGAAAAAATTGCTATTAGGATTTATTTTTACTAAGATAGGGTAAGAATATTAGAAACCACACAAAAAAAAAATGCCCCAAAAATTGCTTATCAGTCTCATCTTGGTTGTTTCTATTACTTGAGACTTCACTTGTATCAACTGACTTACTGATAGACGGACAGACAGACAGATCAATTACTATAGCGTACCTGCAAAGTCTTGGAGGTTCTAACTAACAGATTTTCTATCCAGTTCTGATGAATATCTTTAAGGTGGGTATTACTTGTGAATGGAGAGTAAGACTCACAATAAATTGTCAAATCTAATTATCTAAGCAACTTCCTATCCAGCTCTTATAATGTCTTTGTGACAGGACAGGACAAAATGGATGGTTAGACTGGGAATTGAACCTGGGATTCCTGCATCACTATTCAGATTCTTTACCACTCAGCTATGCAGGCCAATATCCATGGCCCAAAGCATTACACTCGTCCCTCCTAAAATTGTCTTTTCCTCCAAGAAACTACCAAAGTTCTTATTTGCCCCTGGCAGGAACTTTTACCTGCAAATCCAGGGGTGGTCAACTGCACCAAATCATGTAACAGGAAAGAAGAAAATGAATGGCTGGACCAGGAATCAAACCTGTGACCCCTGCATCACTAGTTTGGTGCTCTAACCCAGGGTTGTGGTTAACTTTTGAAACCTTAGGGGCTATGTGAGCTCCTAACTTTTCAAATTTTACGGGCCCACAATGTGATCCAAGGGCCCACATTATATGATAATTAAAAATAACAAAAATCCTAAATTTTTCTAATTGATTATTTTATTTGTAGCACATGTATTGATATGTTCGCAGTATATGAATTTTTGTCACGTTTTCTCTTTTCTAAAAACTTTGATCCGTTAATATATTCATTATATTGTGTAGTGTTTAACTTACACAACTGAATCGTCTATGGTTTAACAAGGGAGCATATTAAATAATAAATTACATACAACCTGTGATGAAGTTTGATTCCAATCTTTTATTGTAAGCATTTGACAAAATTCTATCTATGAATAATTAGTCTGGATGGTGTGTGTAACAACCATAGTCGATTGTTACAATATTTCTGTTAGAACAATCTCAAACATTTGCTCTAAGACTTGTATCAACAGAGATTTGACTGTTTTGATCTCAGTCACGTATAAGTCTGAATAATATGCTTGTAATATACAATACAAATAACCTAGTAGGTTAGTGGAGCCTTTTCTTAAAAACTGAAAATTCAAAAAATAAAATATAAAACTGAAATGTGATTATGTTCCGGAATAAAATCGTTTGCCATGTGGGTGACCAGATTTTTAATATCTAAAGCAAATTTTACTCGCATTTGCAAGTGGGCCAGTGGTTATCCACAACCCTGTAACCACTGAGGTGCCCAGGCTGATATCCATGACCCAAACCATTACATCTTTAAGTTGAGCATGAGTTTCTTACAGAGAGAGGTAAATTGATTTAAATTACATAATTATACATAACTAACCGACTTCCTATCCAGCTCTGACGAACCTCCTTAAGGTGAGTGTTCCTCATGTTGTGTACAGAGAAGAGGAATATATTCTTATATTTATCGCAGCATGTCTGGATCTACAATACATTGATAATGAGTTATCACAGCATGTCTGGATCTACAGTACATTGATAATGAGTTATCACAGCATGTCTGGATCTACAATACATTGATAATGAGTTATCACAGCATGTCTGGATCTACAATACATTGATACTGAGTTATGGATATACTTCACAATTATGTACTGAAACTAGAATAAAAATTAAATATTAAGTAAACGCATAAAAATTTATTTTCAATAATGTTACCACAAGCATATAAATTCAATTAATTAAACCAAACAATTTACCAAACATATCAGAAAGCTAAGGAATTTTCCACAAATGTGCTAAGTGCAAGGTCTGTAAAATTTTACATTTCTTTTGTGTACTGTAGATTCTTAAATACATTTATAGTGAGGAAATAATTGTTATGTAAATTTTGTGAAAAGCACTTGGGAAATAAAATTACTGGCTTTTGGCAAGTGAGTTAAGGCTAAGTATAGGCGTTTCTATGCAAAGGAGCTAATAAAAACGGAGTTATATCTATTATACAGAAAAAGTTTAAATTCATTTTCTTATATATACTTAGTACCCGCAACATTATGGCCAGTGCACATTACGATGTCATTGTTCTTTACTACTTTAGGTAATAAAACACAACAACAAACAAAATGTGAGACACAAAGTCAAACAAGAACTGAATACTATAGTAGAGAAGCAAAATAAACAAGAGCAGATAACTCTAATCTTCTCTTCAGATGTACTATAAACCCTGGGAAGAGCTCCAATTATCAAACATGGCAGACGAATTGGAAGTGAGTTAAAAAGATCATTTTTTGTACCAGAAGGCACATTCTCAAAAAGAAGTATACTTACATCCTCAATTATCTTCTGTTTAAACTCGAGTCCTTTTCTCTTTGTCTGTGTTAAAGAAACTGAAACAACAGATAAATGTAGGTCAACTTCCTTTAAAATTAAATAACAGTTTTTATCTGCAAATTTAAGATGTTGAACTTTTAGCCATAGGCATTCCTGACTCTTAACTGGTAAATTATATCTATATTGTAAAAGCTAAAACATTTATACAGGGATTTTCCACTCCATTTTGGGAATGGGGCCTGGACCCTTCAAATTGGAAATTTACCAACATTTATTCACTAATTGAAAAATGATATCAAATGATGATTTTCAAGAAATATACACTAATTATAAAATAATATTTTGATCTTTTATTTAATATTCTGAATTTTCAATTAATTAACAACTGTACCTCATCACCAGAACCTTTTAGTCATTCCATTGATTATCAATCCTGACCATGCTTGGTTTACTGGTATTCTGATCCTTTTGAGGTTTTTATAGCTTTTGTACATTTCAATTTTGAACACACGGTTCAGTTTTGGGGGGAAAAAGAAAGGGGTATTGTATTTGGGAATGGGGCATAAATTCAGCCCTACAGTGGAAAATCCCTGTTATTATAGTCTAAATTCATGTATCTATCTTCGAGGGCACAGTCTGTGTCCAATTCTTTTCAACTTTTATTAATATGAGCTGATATGCAAACTCCTATTATTTAACAAAATATGGAGTTTTCTCTAGCACATACAGATTGTTCGAAAGTCAATTCCACCAAGAAATATTCATGAATTATTACTAAGTACCTGCAATCTTGTAACATTTTTGTATTTAATACAATAGTTTTGTTAACCAGGTAAAACATCTCCACTAGCTAAGTATTCAATTTGCATACACTCTTATCCCAGGAGATGAGGGGATACAAATAAGACACTTGGATAGCGAATATGCGGGTAAACTGAATTGTACATATCGATCTGTGGTTTATGTTCAAATTCCAGTTGGTGGTTTAAATTAATAGACAATAACCATAATTATTTAAATTCATACAGTCAGTGAGATCCATCCATAGCATCAATTTGAAAGATATACATATTATACAGGTCTGGTATGATCACTAGATTTAGCTACATAGCTTGAATTACCTACATAGCTCTATATACCAACCTGAAGTAGTTTATTTAGCTACTAAGTCATACTTATTTCTTAAATTAGCATTTTTCTCAGGATGTGCACAAATCGCACTTTGATGCAGTAATAATTTTCAACTTCAATCTCATCTGAAAACAATTCATGAAAGAAACACTCTTGAAATATATTTTTCTGCGCAATATTGCAATCAAAGTTCTAAAAGTTTTGGGGCTATATACAGCAGTTAATTTGTGACCAAACAGTTACTTCTTGAATGAAATAACAAAGAAGATCAGTTCAGGTTAGCTTGATAATTGATTGGTAATTATTCAGCACAATGTGAAATAATCATACTTATCCATGCCTCACCGCACACACAGTGGCGGACAGTTACTTAAACAACAGAAATACATCTTTTGCTTAAAAGTGTTCAAATGCAGCAATGTTTTAACTATTTTTGCTTTGGATTGCTTTTTCAAATATTCCTAGTATAAATATTAGTAGTCATATATTTGTTGTTGTTTTTTTGGTCTATTTTAAATAAACAGTGATAAAAAGCTAAATTGTGAAAAGTTACATTGAAATAGCTAAATAAAGCTACCTGAAGTAGCTAAAGAAAGCTATGGTAGGTAATTCAAGCTACGTAGCTAAATGTACTGATAGTATTGGACCTGATAAAATTCATTTTTAAACATTAAATAAACAGCTGATGTAAATTCCTAATCGAGAAGGATATAAGAAACATGTTGATATTATCAGTATCAGATAAAAATAATCAACTTATGTATATTTACCACAACATACCCTTCTTATCTCGTTTGGATTTTGGCATTTTGACTTCAAATTAGTACACAGGCACCTGCTCTGTCTGCTGTCACACGTGCTTCTGTTTTCTCCCCACTAACCGGAAACTAATAGCATTGTGGGACTGATTTTTCTATTGTTTGCCGGTTTCTCCTTCTATTACACCATAGATGATTAAGCCCCGTGCTCAATAAATGATTTTTAAGTTAGGCGTATAATATTTTAAACAAGAAGAAAGAATTTTCTAGCAGATATCCTTAGGAAAGCATTGTTGCAAAGCGTATCCATCCTTTATAGAATATATCAAATACAAATACAAATATTTATTGACGCAAACACAATTGCAATAATTGGCAAAGGCACGACACATTATAAGAATCATCATATTGTTTATACATAAATATACAATATTTTAGTATAGAATGTGAGGCTATACATAACTATAAATCATACCATCATTTGTATAATAATTATGTAATGCAATCATTTCTAGATACAAGACATTTTTTAATAAGTGAGTGTGTTATTTTCAGTATTTCTGGACAATGGCTATTAAAGCAAAGCTTAACTTTTTGAGTATAAGACATATTTGAGATTTTTCCTTTAAAAATATATCTAACAGGCCCGTAGGAAACAATTTCAGTTGGGGGGGGGGGACACAACCATACATTTTCAGTTGAAGGGGGGTTGGGCACTATCAACTACCAAAAAATCCTTGACGAGCAGAAAAAAAGGTCATCGGGCGTTATTATTGAGGGGGCACAAGCATATATATATATATATATATATATATATATATATATATATATATATATATATATATATATATATATATATAATATATATATATATATATATATAGTAGCTGTGTTTTCTATCGTATTCTATATATATCGGCAATAGTATTGGGGGTGGGGGCACGGACCCCGCACCCCCCCCCCCCCCCGGTTCCTACGGCCATGTCTAATCAGGGACCTATATACTAACGGCTAGTATATAGGTCCCTGGTCTAATCAAGGACCCACAGAGAGGCATGTGACCTAGGCTACACAGAAAATTTTGGATCGTGTGTTTTGTGTACATTGGATGTTTTCCTATGTCAGTTTAAATGCATTAATTAAAATAAAAATCGCTGAAATTAACAGTTTTAACAAATATAATATTTAGACAATACACAAAACACACCATCCTGAAGCCGAGCGCCTTTGATAAAGACAGTGATCGATAATGAGATGATTGCAGAAAATGTATCATATTTGTGAGGGAAAAAATGCATAAATAAATTGATATCCTTTACTTGGTTTTCATGTCCAAGGGTGGGTCTAATTTGGTTTTATTGGAAGGAATTTAAGATAAGCTTTTAAAAAAATAGACCCATCCCCCCGCGACCATAAATTTTCTCCCGAGATCAGGAGATTCCCAGGTCCGCCTATTTATATTCAATCCGGGTTGGTATAGATTTTATAAAGTAAGAATATTAAGTTCCTATTTTATAAATATATACTTTATAAGTCACAACTACAATGTTGAATGGTGTTGACATCCAGAAAAGATACTGACTGCATTATTGCTAAGCGTGTTTCATGAAATAACGAATTCTAAAAAAAAAAAAAAAAAAAAAAAAAAAAAAATGAATACTTACAATTCCTTTACGTATCCAAACTGCGAATTCAGCGCTGCTCATTAAAATCATAAAGCACATACATGACATGTAAAACTGAAGTGGGAGAAGGACGGCGATTTTGGCCGAAATAACAAGATATATTTTGTACGACTATTTCATCCCATATTATTTATGATATCCCAAATGAGAATCCACCATGCTGCTACGACTGAACAAGAGATGATGTCATGTAATGCCCCAGAAAAAAGTGACTTAATTAGAATATCAGTGTATACATCCTACTGATTTTCCACTCTGTAAAAGTAAGTAATTATATGATATTTACCTATTTCCTAAAATTTACTTGAACCCCCCCCCCCCACCACCACCACCACTACCACCACTTAGAGACAAAAAATTACTATGTTTATTCAACCCAAATTTTCAGTGAGGTGGGGAATCTGTGGACTGCTTATGGCCCAGTGATGTCCAGGAAAGTGCTGGGGGGGGGGGGGTAGCCCATCAAAGACTCCTTAGTTTAAGCAAATTGAAGACTTAAGTTTTAATTTAATTTTTCACTTGTGCATTTTTAGAAGAAAAAAAATCGACATATGGTAACGTGCGATTGATATGGGGGATATAGATCTTGCGCTATTTTTGCATGTTAAGTCATGCCGTTTCACACATAATTATCAAATAGTTGTACTAAAATGTGGCCTCAGTCAAAAAGACAAAATAAACACCAGAAACATTATACCAAGTAATGTCAATAAAAAATAGAAAATAGCTGCACACGTCAAGGAAACACGGGTTTAATTTCAAAGACTTACATTGCCAGATTATCGAAACAAATTTATTAAAAAATATTTCTTTAAAAAACCATCCATGTTTAAATTATTGCAATTGTTCAATACAGAGAATTATAAGGATATGTGTAACCTTGGTAAATATATTTATTATAGCATGAGGCGAAGAGATCTTGTAATCCAATAATTGTAATATTTTACTTCTTTTTATTTCATTATTATTTATGTACGTACACTTTGTTCTCCTGTAAATCATCCACTTCTGTACTGTATCCGATTGTATATTGTATTATATTGTATATACTGATAAGCTGTAAAGCTTTAAGTAATAATAAAGAAACGCCATTATCTCTATCATAATTATGGAAAATCAAGCTCTGACAATTTTATTATTTTGAACTGCGCTTGTATAACTATAATTGTATTAATTGTGTACCTGTCATTGCAACATATTTTATCTTTTTCAATTTTTGTGCATAATTCAAAATTGAAAAAAAAAAAACATTTTTTTTTAAAAAACTGAACATGATTTTGATATATATAAATTTTAATAAATCCGTGTCTTGAAATGCAGTTAACCTCCACCACCTAGCTTAACAACCAAGGAATGTGCATGTTTATTGTAAAAAGGTGGACACTATACCGCCATTGAGGCCTGATCCAATCGTAATACAGAAATGATATAACAATAATTTAAAAAAAAATTAAGTACAACCAGGGACCTATATACTAGTGTATAGGTCCGTGGTATAACGACACAATGATTTGTGTAAATTAAAATCTAGTGCTTTTGTTTTTAGTTAATGAACGCACAAATGGTTGTTACGGTCTTGGTATTGGATTCCTCGATATATTAGAATGTTTTAATGAACAGGGGGTTAAAAAAGCATCACAATAAGCCGTTGTATTGTTGATGTTTTATTGTTTTCTGTACATTTTTTATAGTTAAGATTAAGGGAGTTAGTGTACCTTTCAATTTTGTCAATAAATTAAAATATAAACCGTAATACCTCCAATACATCGAGAAAAAATCTTAGATGCAAACTTATTTAGTAAAAAATAAATATTTTTTTCAATTAAATGGAAAAATACATTATTTTCATGTACTTTAAAGAACCCAATTGACATAGTTTTAATTCCTCGAAAATTTTTTTTTCTTAAAGGTTGAATTTTTCCAAATTGGAGAGAATTAGCACATTGCATACTTAATGGTATAAAATAAGAAAGCGTCCCGTAAAGCCCGCCTAGGTCCCATAATTTCTCTTCACCTTCCACCCTCGCACCAGGATTTCAGCAAACTTAAATATATACTAATACTTCTGTGTACTGGGGCCTTAATTTTAACAAACTTAATCTGTGTTACATTGAGATGTTACCAAATGGTTCTTGAATTAAAGGGGAAATGTGAAAAGTTAACAAAGGTACGAAAGGCAAGCTTCAATCCAGGCCCGTAGCAACGGTTTCAAAAGGGGGAGGGAACTTCTCCAAAAAATCTGACAAGCATTTAAAAACCTACACTGACCAAAAGTGTCGCAGTGCTGCGGTGTGTGTGTGTGGGGGGGGGGGGGGACTTCCCGAAATTATCTAACGGCAAGCATTAAAAAAAAAGGGGGGGGGGAAAGCTTATTTACTGGAATTTGCCTGTGCTCGACCTTACGACAACTAAAAGTGGGTAGGGAACCGGCATCTAAAGGAAAAATTACTATACCAAAAGCTATACTCAGAAAAGAGTGGGGGACCTGCAACCCCCCCCCCCCATCCCGCGTTCAACGGGCCTCCAATCAAAATCCTTGGCTCGGGTAGGTGAGCTTAATTAAAAGAAATAAAAGAATCTATAAAGTATATATACGGACTGATATAATTTTTTTTTTTTTCGCTGTAAAAAAGGAATCAATTGATACTCTGATAAAAGAGATAACTTTTAATTGGATCAATTTCTTTCATTCCTTTTTGGAATTGGCAAGTTGAAATGTCTTTTTTGTCCGATTTTGCATCAAAAGCTGCGCTAAAACTATTTCCATTTTACTTACAAAACATATTTCTTCTGCAAAACTCATAAGCGTTCAAGTAACATTGGATACGATCATATGAGTGAAGAAAGGGATTAAAATGCACCATTGTGTCAAAAACATATTAGAACCATTTTGACCTCGAACCGCTCTCAAAAGAAAATTACTTCGATAAGAAAACAAATATTGCTTGCTAATGTGCCAAAATATTTAAACATGTAATAGAAATACTTTCAAAATGTTAAAATCAAAAAGTAAAATAATATTACATTATCAATAATGAGATGCATCACCATAGAAACAAATACGTCATGGCTACCCTTTGCTTTCGAGAGAATCCCCAACAGGTCAAACTTGACGTTCGGAATCCAAGGAAAGATAACTCTCTTCAAAGAAAAAATAGTCCATTAGATATACGAATATGTAATTTATCATTATATACAAAGTTATGTTGTAAATGATTTTCACCTGTATCATATAGATAATCAATCATTCTTATTCGAAAATTCTACTTTTTAAAAGTATTGAGGTGCTTTAATGGATAAGCGAATGAATAAATGACGTCATAAGGTGTAATTTAACCTGTCTTCCGCCATACTGGTGTCTGTAGTAAACCTACATTGCAAACAACTTTCGAATTAACATCTACCGTTAGTATCAAAGCAAACATGAGCCTCTCAAGAGA